TTGATGCAGGACCAGAGCAGCCAGGAGAACATCAGAGGAGAACCTGGATGAGGGAATCTAATGAAACATCTCCACATGTCTGCAGATGGTTTCAGGAAGTCGCTTTATTCTGCCAGCCAACAAACACAGAAGAACCTGCGGTTCTGACCGAACCCAGAAAGTTCTGCTTTTATCTCCTGGTCGTCTGCTTCACTGCAGGTGAGACGTGTCTGAAAAAGAGGAAGCAGCAAACGGATAAATGTTTAGATTTTCTACGTACCTGTGTTTTACCCTCAGCTTGTTGACGTCCTGGTGATCCAGGCCAGAGCAATCAGCACCAGATGATGCAGTATCACCATAATTAGCTGGAGGCTCTGAATTATTAACCCACTTTGGTTGGATGGAAAAATACCAGCTGGACTGGATCAGCTGCTGATGCTCTGAGTCACCAGGAGGTCAACAGATTTGCAAACATCCATAACTGAACATAATAAAAATGCATTTATTATAAATGATTGCCTAAAAAAGTCAGATTATACTTCTTCCATTGGTTAGAAATAACGCTGCTAATGTTGGTTCTATATATTTCCACAGTGTTGTGATCACTGATCTCTATATTCCCTGGATTGCTGATTGGCCGAAAAAAGTGAAGTCACCTGCCGCCATCTTGGTACTCCCCACTCCCTCAGAGACACGCCATAAAAATGTCTCCCTGTGCAACATTTGGCTCCAAGAACCAGCAGCTTTCTGGCTGCAGGAAGAAGTTCCACAGCTAATTTCACAGTCAGTGGATGAATTAACCAATAAATCCATAAATACGGCGAGGCTGCAGTGTTTGGTGTTCAGAATTCTGAGATTAGAGTCAGAATTCTGACTTTTTTCTCTTATTATACTGAAATAAAATTTAAAAATCTATTTTTTTTTATTTTTTTTCTCTAATGGCCCTAATCCTCTTCCGTAGGTTTATGTCAAAACTACTCATTCAACCATATATGGTCAGTGACGTCACGTGATGACGCGTACAGCTCTGGTCAAAGTGTTTCCTCTCCGGGAGTTTCACCGGGATCCGCCGCTCGCTGCGGGCCGCGCTGCGCTGCTCTCCGCCGGTCAGAGCGCTCAGCAGCACCGCGCTGCTCCTCAGGTGGTTCCGGTAGTGCCTCCGTTCGGGTCTCTCCCAGAACCCACGCGGGTCCGTTTCCACGCGGCACCAGGTCTCCCTCCGCATGTTGAGTTCCAGCAGAACCCGCTCCTCTGGTTCGGACATCCTCTGCTGCCGCTTAGCTTGTGTAGCCACTGCGTTGGCATGGTAACAGTTGCTGTCCAAAGATCCTATATTCAGGCAGAGGTTTTACTCTTCGTCTCTACCCGATCGTCCCGGAAGCACGATCCGTCCTGCGCATGCGCGAACAGATATCCGTCCATAAATAATGTAATAATGTTACTAAAACTACTATTTCTATCCTTAGCTCACCAAAGAATGCTAATAAACATCTTTAAATATGTTTTATGACTTATGAGACAATTTTGATGCTTTTTACAGACGAAGTTTCCACATGTCAGCCTCTCACCAGAGATCTTCTATTGCCGTGTGCTGACTCACTCTGTTTGATTAATGAGTTCCTGAGCCGCTCTGGTAGAAGTAGAGAGAAAATAACAGATTTACTTTTCCTACCAAACTACCGCTGTTTGGAATAAATCATCTTTTCTATAATTTCAGCTAAAATGTCATGAAACTAAATACTTTAAATAACTTTTTAAGGATCTGATCTGAGGCTCATCAGTGCATCTAGATCTGATTTTAACAAAGAATGAGTCAAAGCATCATCAAGCTGGAGGCCATCCTCCTAATCACTGCTTTCTGTATTTAAATGACTTCCAGACTAAAAAATGAATCTTTCTACTGCAGATAAACTGCAGCTGATTAAAAGCTCCAACCAGCTTAACAGTCAAGAAGCGACAGGATGATGTTGCTTCTTTAAAACCAGCCTGACAATTAATCAGAAGATGATTTAATCCACTGCTGAGGTAACGACATAAACTATGCCTTTTATCTCT